TCAAAAACCCAAGATAAAGGTTGATTTAGTGAATAAAACTCAACAAAAAATCTGGGTCAAGAAATCTGATCTTAATTGCTTATCTGCCATTACTTCTTTAAAATCGTGTGATGATAGTACTAACTGTTCCAACAGTTCTGTTGACAAAATTGGATTGGGGCATAAGAAACTTGATCTTCTGAATTTTGATAATTTGAGTGCGAAAAATAATTCGATGAATCCTATTCAGCATTCGAAAACTAAGCTTACTGATATTTGTCATCGTTTCATAAGGGGCTTGGTTGAAAAGGGGGTTGTCTCAATTGATTATGCTGCAACAGAGAATGAATTAACTGATGCTTTTGCAAAAACCCTTGATACACAGAGATTTGATTCCTTGCGAAAATCGCTGGGAATTTATATTGTTTAATCTGATGCAGTTGCATGAACTGTTGCAACAGTCTGTGTGTCCAGACTTGCAACTTTTAGTGGTAGGACACTTCATATGTTTTTGCATCTCATATAGGACCTGCATTAAGCATACTGCATATAATTGAGACAAATGTGAATTTGATACTTCGTGTATTTCTAAATTTTGTGGGGTAGAACTTCACCAATTCCCAAAATGATTACTTAAAAGGCTCCAACTTATTTATTTCTCTGAATAGTCTTGTCATGGTTGGACGTTTTTATAGGGAAAAGCTGCCTCTTTTAATGAGTGAAAGCTACTCTTTAACTACTGTTACTAATATATATATCTACAACCATTTGGTCAGTGAATAGTTCAAATCCTTTTTTAGTCGAGTCAGTAAATCACGTGGCCGAAAGCTCGCTACACGGCTCAATTAGAAAGCCCAGGGGACTACACATTGCACGGCCAATATAAATTATACATATGGTCAGTGAATAGTTCGAAGCCTAGTTGAGTCGAGCCAGTAAACCACTTGACCGAACACTCACTACAAGGCTCAATTAGAAAGCCCAGTGGACTACACATTGCACGACCACCTTAATCTCATTCCTTTTAATTGCTCTGTTTTTCATGGGAAAAAGCTACCATTAGACGTGTGTGTACGCTACCTAATAAGAGCATCTTTGTGTTTGACTTGGGATTATTAAGTTTATTGGTTGCATTGGCGGTCGGATTTTTGGGGATTGCGTTTATCGTGAATGTGAAGATAAATCCCATATGTTTTGTTTGTCCATGCAGTATCCTATTCACATATCTCTCTTCACTCATGTTTATTTCTCATATTTACTTCTTGTCTTGCATTAGGCATTATTTAAAAAAAAAAAAAAAAAAAAAAAGAGAGAGAGAGAGGGGATTTTTGTTTATGTACCGGTTAAATTTGATTTTTGTTGCAGCCGGATCTATTGAACATACAACTCACAGTTCCACGTTTCGTATGAAGTTTGGCAAAGTCTGTAGTCTTTGTTATTTAATGTTGGATTTGATATCACTATCCTTTGATTTTCGCATTGCAATTATCGTGTGGTATTGAGTTGTGAGTTTGTGATTTTGTGTGCACGTTATGTATGGTGATTCTTCTCACTTACTCTCAAGTTTCTCTCTTCGTTTGATCTTTTTGTTAAGTATTTGAACAGATTGCTCGACACATGTTGATTTATCTATGCATGGTGATTAGTCCATGTTGCTCGACACATGTTGATCATTAGTCAATGTTGATTTATCTATGCATGGTGATTGCCCAGAAAAGGGGAGAAAAGAACAGTAACGATGGCATGAACACAGGGGGAGTTCCTACAACTGTTGCGACAGTGCATAAGACATTTGCTGGAACAGTGCAGGAATGCAGGGGGAGTTCAGACAACTGTTGAGACAATGCATCATACAGTTGTTCGAATAGTGCAGAAATACAGGACAAATAAGGAGGAATTCATTGTAAAGGGAAGTTTATTCTGGTACTGCGACAAATAAGGAGGAATTCATTGTAAAGGGAAGTTTATTCTGCTACTGCGAAAAATAAGGAGGAATTCATTGTAAAGGGAAGTTTACTCTGCTACTGCATATTTTTTATTGTTCTTTGCTTAATTGAACAACTGTACACTATCTGCTGAACTGTTTGATAAACTGTTGCAACAGTTTATATTTGCAGATGTTATTTTGATTTTGCTGACCCTTGTTCATGCATGTATCATATATTTAGGGGGAGTAAATGTTCTGACCAATCAATGCCAAAGGGGAAGAGTGTTAGAATCTCGGTGTTGTAAAGGGAAGTTTACTCTGCTACTGCATATTTTTTATTGTTCTTTGCTTAATTGAACAACTGTACACTATCTGCTGAACTGTTTGATAAACTGTTGCAACAGTTTATATTTGCAGATGTTATTTTGATTTTGCTGACCCTTGTTCATGCATGTATCATATATTTAGGGGGAGTAAATGTTCTGACCAATCAATGCCAAAGGGGGAGAGTGTTAGAATCTCGGTGGGATTCTAAGTCCACAACACCAAGTGGAATTCTGTGGAGATGTGTATTAATATGATGAACATATTTTCCTTAGTTATCTCATTAGATAATTTGAGAAGAAATAATTTATCTATCCACACTAACATCTGAACGTGTGTATCCAAAATAGAAGGAATTTCACTTTTTCTAATATTGTGTTTATTGTCATTAATTGGTTTAGGTTTTCACAAGAATATAAAAGGAGGAGCTAATGCTGACGTTATTTGCTGAGTCTTTTATCACGTGGATGATATACCACGTCGCCTTCCAAGTCTACCAAGCCAAGTAAGCAAGGGGAAGAATGAAGTCATTTACAAGAGAAGCTGCCTAAGGATCATTTACAGGGGGAGAAACACATGCAGGGAGAGCTGACTCCATTATGAACCACCTGTCGAAGCCACAACTGTGGGAACAGTTGCTGAAACTGTGGCACTTACTATTGCAGCAGTTGATGCCACTCTTGTTACTGAAAAAGATGATTATGATGAGCTGTTCATTTAATGCTGAGGATGATCTTTAGTTTTATTGCTTCCGTCTTTCATCTGATTGTTTTATTTTCAGGTTTTTTACTCAGTGGGAGAAAATGATTATAATCAATAAATGACAAAGGGGGAGATTGTTAGAATCTAGTTAGATTCTACTTAAGAGAAACCATGGAGAATTCTAAGAAATTGGGATTCCTTAATACCATGTGACTTGGAAAGAAAGTTGTTCTTATTTGAGAATACACACAGCCGTGTATCATGATTAAAGGGAAGAATATATTTATTTTCCAAGTTTTGGTTTGCTAAATTGTCATTAATTGATTTATATATTTATTTCATAAATTAGCTATTTTGGGTTATACCGAATTTGTATTTCAATAGAATACAAATTCTTTTGGAAATTAGTGTTTGACTAGGACTTAATATCTTTTGATAAGATTTATTCCTAATAAGCCCGATACGTATTTTGATGTTGGTCTTTTGTAGGGTTCTTTATCAGGCTTATAAAAGAGAAGGATCGACACATTACTGTGGTGTGCCTTTATTTTGAGAGAAAAAGATTTCTCTTTTCTTTGTTGCTCCCACAGTGACTTTTTATCGAGAGAAGATATACAGAGAAAACATTCTTGGCTCTCGTTTTTATTGCTCCATCGTGATACGTGATTTTCATAGAAAATATACCTGCTTCAAGGCTTTGTGGTGAAGACACCAAAATTCAAGGAGTATCACAAGTTTGCTTCTTCTATACAAAAAGAAGATCGGTTCTTCGGGAGAGGGGCTTAAACAGATCTCGGGAGGAGATCGATCCGCCGACTGAGGGATTCAGCGTTGAAGGGAGTTCAACCGTGCGGAGCAAGGGACGTGCTGCAAATTGAAGATTTATAATTCAGCGTAGTATACAAGAACGGCGTCAACAAAGAGGGAGTCTTTATATTTTGATTAAGTCCAACTATTGTATTCGTAAAACTAAAAATTAGTAAATTTTATTTGCAGGTCCCCGTGGATGTAGGGTACAATTGTATCCGAACCACATTAAATTTGTGTCTCGTTTATTTCTGTTTTTACGAACTGCTTCACGAACTATTGCAACACTTCACGCAACAGTAATGAAAAACTGAATCTGACACAAATAATTTATATCTGCACGAAATAAATTCTAACATTGTGCAATACGGAGTTTGTATTCCAATGTAATAAATAGTTTTTTTGACTGCAACTAATTATTGGATTACCTATTTACTCTACAATTTCATATATATTACGTTTCTTAGTGAAATTTAATATTAAGAACATCAATATTAAGAGGTTTTAGCATCCGGCACCCATGTGTAATGTCTAATGACTAAAATAATTAGCACATACCCCCGTGTTACATAGTCAACGACATTAAGATCCCTACGAGTTGGTTGTGCGATACACTTGCCAAATATGTGACTGGGGTTCCGTTTTTTGATGTGAAAAGACTCAAGTATATTATAAATTTCAAAAATAAGCCACAAATATTAGAGTTTTCATTTTTTCAACTCAGACCTAGAAGTTTCAAAAAGCCGTCTTCTCCAAAGTCAAGGGACTGAATTGCGAACGGAAAAAAAAGCCACCTCAGCCCTCCGCCGCTTCTCACCACCCCAAAGCAGTGCCTCAACCCTTCTGCACCACCCTACCACCACCACATCTTTCATATTTGCCTCCCAGGGATAATTACACTTTTCGTCCCTATACATTACCACTTAAACGATTTTCGTCCCTAAACAAGATGAAGTTACAATTTTCGTCCCTAAACATGTCACTTTTATGCCGTTTCTGTCCCTCCGTCCATTTGTCCAGTTAGTTTGGACGGAAAATCGCACGTGCGCCGCACGTGACACACAAAAACACCTCTACACCTCAAAATAAGTCTGTTCCATTAATAAAAAGCAGAGCAATTTATGATGAAACCCAATCTTGATTTTGTCTCGACCTGCAGATTTAATTATTTATGATGTCTCTGTTAATTTATGTATTCCTATCTGACTTTAGTTTGAAATTAGGTGGCTTATTGTAATGTCATTATTGTGATATCGTGTAAAACATCTCTTTCTCTCTCTCCAGGAATTGAGGATTAAATTCAGGGATTGCTCGAATTCGCTCTGTGAAATCAGATACAACAATATGTTACTCCGAAAACTATAATACCGAAATTGTGGAATCTCATAGAAACCTGTTAGATGCATCGGTGTGTTCAACGAGATCTTTCAACGCATCACCAAGCTCTTCAAACTCGTATATGAATGTACGCACTCTTTTTTCAAAAGCCGGTGCAAAGAGTAGAGTCGAGCAAGATGATGATTTGGAGGATGCTTTTTTCGAACTCGAAGCTCCACTTGGTGCAGTCCGAAAAGCTGCTTCTGCAGATGACGTAGATGATTCAATGTCTGAATCAGATCTGTACGAGGGTGAGAGTGTCACTACTGAGGGTGATGCTGAAAAGAAAAGTTTTCCCAAAACTAATCCTCATTCAGCATTCACAAAGGCTGTACTGGGTGCTCCGATTGTATCGGTGGTCAAGGTTTTGGATCAATGGGTCAAAGAAGGAAACGAGCTGACTAAACCAGAAGTGTCTTCAACCATGGTTAATCTTCGGAAGCGGCGAATGTTCGTCAAGGCCTTGAAGGTGTGTTTTATTTTCCGACTTTTTTTTACTGTATAAAATTTTAGTCTTCATTTCGGTTTTTGTTGTATCATACTCAAGATTTAAGAGGTAGCTACGGTGATGTGGTTGAACTTCTTGAGTTTATTTTAAATAAGAACGGTGAACGAATCTTTCACTTTGTAGCCAATTGAGAGCCTTTGTTTGGCTGGAGAGATCCCTCAGTCTCGATTAGAATCAATCAATTGTGTACCGTAATTCTGACATGCTACTGACGAACTTATAGTCAGTTAAGATGATGTAGGATGCTCTCATGAAAGAAATAATTTGGCTTAGCTTGTTTTCCAAATCAAGATTCAGATTTCTTTTGCATGGGTATCGTATAAAGTTTTTCTACTTTTATAAGTTGGCTGATGCAATATGCATGTATTTGTCTCTGGATATACGGGATTTGGATGGGGAATTAACTTTTCCACTTTATATTTTTTGTAGATGTCGGAGTGGTTGGAGCAGACAAAGCTCCTTGAGTTTAACGAGAGTAATATTACGCCTCTCGTGTTGATTTAATCGTCAAAGTCCATGGTATACCCAAGGCAGAAGAGTACATTAAGCGAATCCCCGAATCTTTTAGAGGTGAAATTGTCTACCGTACCCTACTGGCAAACTGCGTCTCTACAGGCAATGTGAAGAAATCCGAAGATCTCTTCAACAAAATGAAGAGCTTATTCCCTGTTACATGCTTTTCTTGCAATCAGTTGTTACTTCTGTACAAGAGAAGCGACAACAAGAAAATTTCTGACGTTTTGTCGTTGATAGAGGTGCTTTTGTGTGTCACGTGCGGCGCACGTGCGATTTTCCGTCCAAACTAACTGGACAAATGAACGGAGGGACATAAACGGCATAAAAATGACATGTTTAGGGACGAAAATTGTAACTTCATCTTGTTTAGGGACGAAAATCGTTTAAGTGGTAATGTATAGGGACGAAAAGTGTAATTATCCCTTGCCTCCCACAACCGCAAGCTAGACGTGGGTTTGCATTTGGAGTGGGGACGGCCGATTATTGATTGCTCTTCTCCCAATTGAGTCTGCCCCATCCCGCGGCGGAGGTGTGCGGCGGTGGGCTATGAAACCGGGCGGCAAAAATGGAGGCCCAAAAAATGAGTTTTCTTCGACCATGTTCATCTTCGTGGGGGCGGCGGCCAATCTTGGAAGCAGAGGCATTGTCGATTGTTTCTTCAGAGTTTTCGGGCCATGGTTTCTCAGAAGATCAAATCAATTGCGAAGAGTCTCGTTTTTTCAAGAAACACCGTGTAAAAGTCTCTAATTGGATACGTTATTCCGATAGGATTCTAACTATGTTTCAGGGGTGAGTGTAATTATCGATACCACATGGACCTTAAAGTTATTTTAGCATACCTCAGTGGTGTGGGTGTAATTTACCCTATTTTTTGTACAAATATAGATATTTTTTCAATTTTTATTATGATTCTTGGATTGGGCAAGAACAATAAATAGTCTCAAATTCTTTCGTCTTTATCTAAATTTTTACAGATCATATTGATAAATAAAAAATAAAAAAAAAAAAATAAAAAGAAGAAGAAGAGTGACATTGGGAAGAAGGGCAGGTGAAGAAAAAACATAAAATTCATATTAATTTAAAATATTCAATTGTTTGGACGGAATTGTAACATTAAAATGAAACCTGGGCTAATTTAAAAATTAATTTAAAAAAGGGGACTGAGGGTGTTATTTTTGTTAAATTTAACACCAAAATCAAACGGCCGACAAAAAATGCAAAAAAGAAAAAAAAAAGATTTGTTTGAGGACTAAAATCATGATATGAAAAATATGGGGACAAATCATTTTTAATGTATAATATAGGAAACACAAATCTAACTATCCCTATTATTTTCTAATTTATTGACCCGATATATCGGTTTCATGACCCGCCTCTGCCTTTCTTTTCTGGGTCATTACAAATAAGCCCATCAATGTGTACTTATTTATAAAGAGATTCAGACAAAAAACTCATTTATCAATAAGTCTACACATGGTCCAAAAGAATTATTATTGTGTAATAGAGTAATATTACTATGTTGACCGTTTAACAAATGTAAACATAATAAAAAGCCAAAAGAATTAATATTACTGTGAGTGACAGTAATATTACTATAACAACAGTAATATTACCATGTACCACAGTAATATAACAATAATAGACAGTAATATTATTACGTTACTCCGTGAATAACTCAAACAAACAAAAAAACCCAAACAAAATAATAATATTGATGTGGTTGATAGCAATATTACTATAACAACAGTAATATTACCGTTAACCACAGTAATATTATTGTGTTTACAGTAATATTAAAATCATAGACAATAGTATTATTACGTTACTCCGTGAATAACTCAAACAAAACAAAAAACCTAAAAAAATAATAATATTGATGTTGTTGACAGTAATATTATTGTGTTTACACGTTGACTTGTCAACAACTCAAACAAAATAACAAAAATAACAAAAAATTATAATATTACGTTAATTTACTGTCAACGGCAGAACAATTACATAAATGTATTGTCAACGGCAGTACAATTACGTTAATTAACTGTCATTGATAGTATGATTACGTTAATTTACTGTCAGTGACAGCACAATTACGGTCAACATTTAGCGGCGGACGTAAAATAAAAACAAACAAAAAAAAAAAACTTAAAAAAACACTAAAAGTCAACGCCGGAAACCGGCGAAAAAATCCGGAAGGATAAAAAAATAATGAAAAAGTCAACGCCGGAGACCGACGAAAAAATCAGTAAGAAAAGAAAAAAAAAATAAAAAATAAATAAATAAATAGAAAAGTCAACGCCGGAGACCGGCGCTGTCCGCCGGTCAACGCCGAAATCCGGCGGCAAAAAAAAATTTGAAAAAAAAAAGTCAAAATTGGATTGTTGTGAACAAAATTGATTAAATTGGGGTTATAATAAAGAATTGGGTATAAAGTAAGACCAAGAGTCATATTGTTAGACCAACTGACGACATATTCTTTTCATCAGAAATGTACAAAACAAAACCAAGAGCCATACTCGAAATGCACTATTCTATACCATGATTCATAAAAGGGACTTAGATTATATTCATTGAATCAAGGGTTAATGTTGCAGTTTCCGGTACAATATATAGAGAGCTCTCTCTCTCTCTCTCTCTCTCTCTCTCTCTCTCTCTCTCTCTCTCTATATATATATATATATATATATATATATATATATATATATATATATATATATATATATATATATATTACCAACAAATACACAAAATTGAACCAAAAATCTTTACAGCACACAAAATCCTTTTTTATCGATAAAAAGTTAGAAGATTTGATTTCCCAAATCTTTACATCACAACAAACATATAGTTTTTCTTTATCATCCCACAAAATTGTATATTAAATCCTAGCAAATCATGATGATAATGAAATATATTGTTGGAAATAAAAATATAATTAATTATAAAAAAGAGAAGAAAAAAAACAAAAACAAAGAACCCAAGTCGGCTTATGCCTTCTCTTCTCCGATGGCTTATGCCTTCTCTAGTTCAAGCACACTGTTGGCACCAAATTTCCGTTAGTGAAGATTGAAAAAATTCGCCATGCGTGGAAATTAAAGATTGGCAAAGATTTGTTTTCCATGTTTATTTTGGAATTAATTAGAGTCCTATTCTTGTAATATTTTTATTAGGACTTAGATTTATTTCCATGCATTATATTCTAGTTAGGTATCTTTTGTACTTATCTAGAATAGAAATAGAAATCGACTAGGATTCTATTACCTAGTTAATCGATTTCTTAGGGCTCAAGTTAGGTTTAGGGTGGTGGATTTCGTGCCTATATAAGGCCCTCAACCTCATATGAGTCCCATGGAGCTTTAATAAGAAAAATCCCAGCATAAAGGCTTTGAAGGGTGCAGCCCGTGCTGCAACCCTGCCGGCACATCAGGTGTGGCAACAGAACAGGTTTCTTCTACCAGGCCATAAAGAAGATCGGCGTTTCGGGAGAAGTGCTTAAAAGATCTCGGGAGAGGTCGATCCGCCGTTTGAAGGAAGTTCAACATTGGAGGAAGTCCAAGAGTGCGGAGGAGGAATTGCTTTGATTATCAACAAGTTCGAGTCGTGTGCAAGAACGGCGTATCACATAAAGAGGGAGTCTTTAGTGTTTTATTAAGTCCTATTAATGTACACATAAATCTGAACTAGTTTCGCAAGTCCTCGTGGATGTAGGGTACGTTTGTATCCGAACCACATTAAATTGTTGTGTTCTTTATTCTGCTTTTCGTAGATTTGTTACTGTGACAACACAACAATTCTGTTACGTCACCTAATGTCGTAACATGTAGTCTGTCTCAACAGATGAGTGGATTTTGATAGGCATTCAAATTCAACAATTGGCATCAGAGCGGGTCACTAGATATACTTAGTGTCCGATTTTGGGTTTTGATTTGTTTGCTTTGCTTATTGGATGACGTGTGTTCACAAGGAAGGTTGAGACGGAAGTCTGTCACGGCATTCACCCAATTCCGCTGCGTTGTAACGTGCCCCGTGATGGGACACTCTGATAGAAGACCAAGACGGGTGAAGAAAAGTGATATCTTTGTTGCAGGGGGAGTAAATCTCATCTGCAGGGGGAGTTCTTGTTAAACATGGATTCTAACCAATCTATGCCAAAGGGGGAGATTGTAGGCACCAAATTTCCGTTTGTGAAGATTGAAGAAATCCGCCATGCGTGGAAATTAAAGATTGGCAAAGATTTGTTTTCCATGTTTATTTTGGAATTAATTAGAGTCCTATTCTTGTAATATTTTTATTAGGACTTAGATTTATTTCCATGTATTATATTCTAGTTAGGCATCTTTTGTACTTATCTAGAATAGAAGTAGAAATCGACTAGGATTCTATTACCTAGTTAATCGATTTCTTAGGGCTCAAGTTAGGTTTAGGGTGGTGGATTTCGTGCCTATATAAAGCCCTCAACCTCATATGAGTCCCATGGAGCTTTAATAAGAAAAATCCCAGCATAAAGGCTTTGAAGGGTGCAGCCCGTGCTGCAGCCCTGCCGGCACATCAGGTGTGGCAACAGAACAGGTTTCTTCTACCAGGCCATAAAGAAGATCGGCGTTTCGGGAGAAGTGCTTAAAAGATCTCGGGAGAGGTCGATCCGCCGTTTGAAGGAAGTTCAACATTGGAGGAAGTCCAAGAGTGCGGAGGAGGAATTGCTTTGATTATCAACAAGTTCGAGTCGTGTGCAAGAACGGCGTATCACATAAAGAGGGAGTCTTTAGTGTTTTATTAAGTCCTATTAATGTACACATAAATCTGAACTAGTTTTGCAAGTCCTCGTGGATGTAGGGTACGTTTGTATCCGAACCACATTAAATTGTTGTGTTCTTTATTCTGCTTTTCGTAGATTTGTTACTGTGACAACACAACAATTCTGTTACGACTCCTAATGTTGTAACACGTAGTCTGTCTCAACAGAAGAGTGGACTTTGATAGGCATTCAAATTCAACAATTGGCATCAGAGCGGGTCACTAGATATACTTAGTGTCCGATTTTGGGTTTTGATTTGTTTGCTTTGCTTATTGGATGACGTGTGTTCACAAGGAAGGTTGAGACGGAAGTCTGTCACGGCATTCACCCAATTCCGCTGCGTTGTAACGTGCCCCGTGATGGGACACTCTGATAGAAGACCAAGACGGGTGAAGAAAAGTGATATCTTTGTTGCAGGGGGAGTAACTCTCATCTGCAGGG